TCTCTCTCTCTCTCTCTCTGTGTTGCTGCTTGCTAGGTTTGTGTTGCTTCAGTGTAAGAATAATCAAGACAACACACAGTTGGGAGTACGAGAACTATCCATGGAAAGGTGACATCAAGTTTGGACTAAAAGAAGATAAAGATGTGCATGAAATCTCTGAAATATGATGGATGACTTGGCATCTGACGCGTGAGATGATATGCTGTCTTCCAATTTGCAGTATAGAATATGCACTAAAGAGAGACTGTCATACGCAAGTGCATAGAATATGCAGCAAGCCACACTTCATTTACTCTGCAGTGTGAGCTGAAGAACTGTTCTAGTGATGAACTGAAAGCATATATATATATGTGTGTGTGTGTGTGTGATGTGAGATAAAAGAAATCTTACAGCATTTCCAATTTTTATTCCAGTAGATTCTATGCTTGAATACAATTCCAAGTGTTAGGCAAGAAGGATAGATATATGCCTGTTAAGATGTTAACAATTATATATTAATGTTGACTTTGACTTATCTTGAGGCCACAAGCCAAGGTATATAACTTACCAAACAAGCTCAAACTATTGCAACTTAGGATTAAAAGAGAGCACAGTTGCTAACACTTATTGCAAATCTCCTCTCAATCAAAGAAAACATGTAGATCATTGCAAAAAGCTTTCTTGCTTACATGCCTAATAAACCTATCCATGTTAATGTAGGATGATTGAAATGAATAGCTAACACAAGATTCATTGGCTCACCCTCAATTATCTAACAAGAATCCATATGTATGGCTGACTAGACTTGATTGATACATAAGATTTTTTTTTTGGGGTATATTTTCTTTCCATCTTTGAATGAGTCTCACATGAGAGAGCATCTGGTCACAATCTAAACCCTAAATAGTTGATAGCAAATATGATGTTGAATAACTAGCAAGACCACAAAGAGATGTGGAAATTTCAGTGTGTGGATGTTACCAACAACACCTTCTCCGGAGAAGCTTTTCTGCAGGACTGATTGCATTTCAATGCATAAATAAAAAAATAAAAAATAAAAAGAAGAAAAATGTTTCTTGTAAGATAATAGAAAATGGAATTCTAGAGCTGCTTGGGAGTACTACTGTCTACAAAACCCTAATTTTGCAAGAACATGTTTCTGGTCCCAACATGTAAATATTCCCTGATGGAGAAGTATCACCAGCCTATGCCAACACCTTGCAAGCCCTTCTTTCTTGGGAGTTGCAAGGCATATATATATATAAGCTGTGTGCATGAGTTCCTCACATATCTAGGAAAACACATCATGGAAAGCCGACAACAGTGACTTGTACCAAACACATCATCGATTTGGTTAGGCTCTCAAACTGAAGAAGAAGAAGAAGAAGAAGAAGAAGAAGAAGGAAGAGGAGGAAAACATTTCTGGTGCCCCTGATAAGAGGAGAGAGTAACACTGAAGGTACGGAAATCCATGCAGTATGAAAATGGAGAATATACTGAGAAAGAGATTGAGTGCTGACACCAAACCAACAATGTTTGGTGCTGTGTGTGTGTATGATAGCGAGTATAAGGCAGGCATACTTCTGTCGTCACAGCTACTGCCATGTACTGTATGCAAAACAGCAACAAAGCTGGAAGGATGACAAGAAGAAGAAAGTGACTACATAGGTTTGGGTCTCGATGCAAAGTTACTTTGTGGGTTCTCTTTCCTAAATTGTCAACCTCATGGGGCGTTCCTTTAGCTTCCGCTGCAGGAGCTGCCCTCCTCCATGGTGGATCAGCCACAGAGAAAGGTACCAAAACAAAAATAAATATATGTGGAAGCATGATTAAAAGATGAAGGATGCTTCCATCACATCCTTATCACGCATGAGAAAGTTAGGTGGAGGTGACCATCAAGTTTTAAGAATGTAATTTGTAGATGGTTCAATGTCGAGAAAAGATCCATGTAATTCGCCTCAAACGATTAAGATGTTGTTGTTGTTGTTGTTGTTATTGTTATTGTATGACTAAAAAGACCAATAATTCTTATGCTTTTCAACCAAATAGTATTTTTTTTTGTCATGTATTTTAGATAGAAATACTAATAAGAAATATAAAAAGAAAAAGACAGAAGCAATACACAATTTTAGAAGATGTAAAGTTGGACAAATTCAAAGAGTTACTTTCAAGTCGTCGAATAATATATATATATATATATCGTAACGAAAGAATCTTTGGCTCTAAAACCATGTCAATTTTTTTTTGTCAAAAAACGATATTTGGATGGGGAAAAGCAAGAAAGAAATGCTTGGCAAGTGTAGAACAATGCGGGCCTTGATTTGTTCTTCTCTCTGCAACTCATGCATCAAAATGTTAGGACAGGAGAAGCTCATCCCGCAGCTAAAGTTGGTGCCGACAAGGACTCAACAGCACCCCTTTGTCTCCAACTTGTGTTCTTCTCGTTTTTTTTTTGTTAGAATATATTTATTTCGATAGATCAAAAATAAATATACATCGATTCCGCAACTTCAAACAATCATTCACCAAAAAAGAATCAGATTTCACGATCAAAGATGCTCCAAAATATGTATATGATGACTATCTATTTACGACAAGTTTAATCGAAAAAAAAATACTTTTAGTGTTTTTTAAGTACATTTATTGAGAAATACAAATTATCTTTTTTTTTTCTCCAAAATTTAAAGCTTAAATATCGAAAAAATTACATGACATGGCCTACTAAAACAACAATAAAATAGCTAAAAGGAGAAAAAGAACTGTTAATTCCATCATTAAGCAAGCCTTTGGGTTTTCTCAAGAAGAAGAAAAAGGAAAAGTCTTTTCTTGTGGGGTCTCAATGGGACATAGAGATGCCGTAGAGATAAAGACACATCAATTGGCGATACTTGGCATTATTTAGCTCGTAGAATCGTGCCTCGTGTGAATCAAGATTCGCTTACAAAGTTGTCTTTTTTATTTTTATTATTTTATTTTATTTTATTTTCTCCACATGTGTCAATAATTACACCAAACATCATGTTCTCATGTTCATGTATGAAATATATTTTTTCCCCCCACCCTTAATTTATGGTGTCATTGTAACATATTTGGAATAATTGGCATCCACATATTAAGTTAGATTCCTAATTCATATCTAAAATGTGAGCCTCATGATAATATATCAAATTCTTTTATCAAAGGTTAAGGATTCGAAAACTCATTCGGTGTTGACTAATTGATAATTTATCGTAATGTTTCGAGCTCGAATCTCACTTTCCTCACTTACCCTTTGTAAAAAAAAAAAAGTATTATTATTATTATTATTATTAAAAGAAAAGGAAAACTTGTGAAAAAGAAAATCGATTTATAAAATGAAAAGGGAAAAAGTGATTTTGCAACTTTAGAAAAGAAAAAGAAGGGATATTAATAAAAGAAAATGAAAATAATAGTATGATAACTAAATATAGAATCATTATCTTAGCTTCTTGTTTGAATTAAAACATAAATCCATCTCATGCACTTTCTTTTTATTTGGTTTAAGTAAGTTTTTTCAAGATTAATAATCATATAATTAATTTTTAGGTTATGATATTGTCATCTCATCAGCAGCAATTAACCTGTCTATTATTTAACCAAATCAAGATTGGCAATACAATAAAGAAAACATGATTAATTTGTCCAAAAACTTACAAACCTAAAAATCCAAATTAATCGAATAAATTATAGATAAGACTTCCACAACTATCCAAAAATGATGTGAATTTAAGATTAATGAGGAGGAGTCCGAGTCAAAATAATAATTTAGTCTAAAAATTTAAATTTATTATATCTTCACATGACATGAGACATCATATTTCATGTCGTGAACTTTAAGCCATAGATAAATCTAATATATATATATCATCCGAGTCTTTCGATACGTAACTCTTAATCTTCACTCTTTCACCACTTATCGTGAAATCTGTCTAATCTTTCATATCATAGTCAAATTTTGATCGATCATGTGAAGATATGGTCATTGTGAGAAATCCGATGATTCAAAGCAATGCAATCGGCACATCATAATTTGAGGTGACGTTGATGATGTGAATCTCCATCTACTTGACCAACTTAGATCTTCTATAAGCATGTCGATTAGTTTTTGTTCTCTCTCTCTCTCTCTCTCTCTCTCTCTCTCTCTCTCTCTCTCTCTCTTCTCTCTCTCTCTCTCTCTCTATATATATATATATATATATATATGGGTACAAAAGACATTTCACTTGGTGTAATTTCATGATTCGTCTAATGGCTGCTAATGAAAGCCACCGGGAGTTGAATGTGTACAAAATATTCATCAAATTTGTCGGTGATAGAGCGATAAACAATAGGCAGAGAATTGTCGTTCGAATTCTTTGATGTCACTTCAAAGTTGACTGAGCTCGGAAGCTCATTTGAAATGAGGACTTGGGGCAAAGAATGGTGTGTCTATTTGATCCTCCTCGACGCCTATGACTAATTCATGAATCCATCATGAGGCCATGACTAAGGTGGTTTACATTTCCATCTTTACAAAGTCTAAGCAACATTATTTATTAAATGCATCGTTTTCGTGGGGATGAAGGAATAAATGAGATATTTTTTATTATTCGTGTGATCATAAGATAAGAACAAGTAGATCGCTCTTGTTTATACATACATATTTTGTATTCATTATCGTCCTTTTCATATATATACATATTTTAGAATTAAATCTAATATTTATAA